AGGACAGTCATTTATCTATTTTGAGTTAATTCTGTCAAAGGTACACATTTATGCCTAGACTATTTTGCTTTTGCCTTCAGATCTCCATTCTTTTCTAGATCTGTTTTTGAAAAAAACTATCTTTGCCCTATTATCATTACATGTCTTTCAAGGATGAGTAATCATATTTATGAGAGTCTGTTTCTTGATACTTTAAACTCCTCCTATGACAGACTCATCTAATTTTCATCATTACCATCCTGTCTTGTATTCTATTTGTGGTAAGCCTTGAAGTGAGGCAGTGACAGAATTCCAACTGTCTTACTCCTTTGTGCTACTAGGCTGCTCTGGAGCATCTGCTTCTCCATTCTGTTTACAAGATAATTTCCAGGTACTTTGATTGAAAATACATTAAATGTATATTTAAAGATAGGGAGAACTGAAATTGTGACAATATTATGTTTTTCTATCCATAAAGGCGAATATTTCCCCCTACTCTCTAAGTTTTCATTGATTTTGTTCATCATATTTCTTTTGTTAGAGAGCATAGAAATGTACCTCTGTTAAATTTACATTCGAGAATTTTATCATATGTGATAATGATGTAAGTGTTGCTAGGATGGTGTGTGTGTGTGTGTATGTGTGTATATGTGTGTGTCTGTGTGTGTGTCTGTGTGTGTATCTGTGTGTGTGTGTATCTGTGTGTGTGTATGTGTGTGTATATGTGTGTGTGTATCTGTGTGTGTATGTGTGTTTGTGTGTGTGTCTGTGTGTGTGTGTCTGTGTGTGTATCTGTGTGTGTGTGTATCTGTGTGTGTGTAGAAAAAATCTTACTCTGTATACCAGGCTGGTCTAGAACTCTCTATGTAGACCACACTGGTCTCACACTCACAGCATTTCTCCTACACTGGCCTCCTGATTGTAGAGATTGCAGACACTGCTTTCTCTGTCTACTCCTGGGTATTTAAATCTCAAATCCATTTGCTGGATGCTAACTCATAGGAAAGCAATAGAATTTTGTACATCACCCTCTTACGTTGCAACCTTTCTACCAACACTCAATCAGCATGCTTTTATTTGCATTCCTTGTCTTGTCGCATTGCTAAAATTTTCAGCATGGCACTGAAATGAGACAGTGAGAGAGAACATTCTTGCAGGGCTTCTTTTTCTTGATTTAGTGAGAAACTTTCTGTTACAGAACATGAAAGATGCATGTTAGCTATGCAGATTTTGCAAAAATATTCTTTGTCAAGTTGAGAACAGGGACTCTTGGTATGGAGAAAAGGATATTGAATCTTGTCAAATATTTTATCTGAATATATTATATGCTCATGAGACTTTTCCTCTTAGTCTTTTGATATGATTATTTATACAAATTAATTTTCTAATTGTGAACTAAGTATGACCAAGAAAAATCTTACATGGTCAGGGCATATAATTATGTATATAATAATACTTGATTTTTTAACATTTTCTTCAGGAGTTTTGAAGTTTTGTCTATGAGAATTATTAATCTATTGGGTTTTTTCTTCTTATATCTTTGACTGGTCTTATAAAATTAATTGAGCAATATTCCCTCAGTTTTGATTTTCAGAAAGCAATTATAGAAACTGGAACAATTTCTGCATAAAATATATTGCAAAATTCACTACTGAACTCATCTGGGTCTAACTCTATTTCTCTAAGTAGATTATAAGTTATTCATTATCACTTAAACATCATTCATATGTAGGCCTGTTCAGAGCATCTATTTCAACTCAGTGAACACTGGTAATTTGTGTTTTTCAAGGAATTGATATATTTCACCTGGATGATCAAATTTAAGGATAAAAAGATTTTCCCAGTATTCCATTTTTCTCCATTTAATGCACATAGGAGTTCTAACTTTGTTCATTCTTCCATTTCTGATATTAGCAATTGGTCCTCTTGTTTGCTTTCTACTTAGTCTCAACAGAAACTTGATACTCTTGTGGATTCTAAGATTCATCTTTTGGTTTCATTGACTTCATCTTTTGATTTTATGTTTTCAGTTTTTAAAATTTATGTTCTAATATTTTATACAAATCAAAATTACATCTATTAAGTGTATACATTCTGATTTATTTTCCCTAATCTGAGTTATCTGCTTTGTGTTTTCTTTGCATTTGATTTGCCATTTAACTTCTTTCCTCAGATGTATGGTTAGATGTTTGATTTCAGGACTTTTATCTTTTAATCATATGTACATACAGTACAATACAGATTCATCTATGTATAGATTTTACCATGCTAGAAATTTTATAAGTTTCATTTTCATTTAGTTCAAATACTTTTAATGTCTCTTGGAAGTTTTCCTCTCTTGCCTGTTATATAAAATCTGTTATTATTCTCCCTGTGTTTGAAATTTTATACTTCCAATGGATGGATAGATTAATTTTATTATGTCTAGGAGCACATATTGTGATATTATTTTTCAATATAACTGAAAATTTGTATTAACTTGTTGATTCATGTGTATATTTTATATTATATATTTTATATTATTATTTTGTGTGTATTCATATGTTATCACATGTATGTCCATGTACCACATGCATGCATCCCTCATGACTAGAAAGGAGAATCCTCTGTGGCTGAAGTTACAGAGACATATGAACCATAATATGGGTGTTGGGGATCAAACCCAGATCCTCTAGAGCAGCAGCTATTATTCTTAACCAGTAAGTTATCTCTAGAGCTCTTCATAAAATGTGTCTTTATCACATCCCCACTCTACCCTCAAATCCTCTCAGACCCACCCTCTCTTTCCTACCAGTCTCCTCAATATAGTATTTTTTCTTAAAGATGTTATCTTGTAGCCAATGTCCTGGTGGTCGAACTATTACAATGTTTCCACCTCTTCTTCCCTGATGCTGAATGAGCTTTAAGTGTAGTATTTGTGTTGCCATTGTATTAACTAGGGACAGGCATTCAAAAGTCAGTTTATTTCTACTTTGTGACTAGCTGTTACTATCTATAATGGACCCTGTCTATTGCAAAAAGAAGCTTCTTTGATGAGTGATAAGAACTGCATTCATCTGTGAGTATAAAGATAAGTATTTAGAAAGCATCTAGAGATTTATATTAGTTTGGGAAAGAGGCAGTAGTAGATTCTTCTCTAGGTTCCATATTTCTCCAGCCATGAGTAGTTTGCTAAGTTTATAATGCCTGTCATGAATTTCCTCCTAATAAATGGTCTAAAATGTGTTTTCTAGCATGCAAAGTGGTCTGTGTTGGTGATTGTTTCAAGTAGGCTTAAAAACTATGTCTATTCTGTGATTTTTGGTAAAGCCCTCTAAAAAAATAAATTGCATTTGTTGATTGATGATTCCTATTTTTTTTTTCGTTACATCTGCCTACTGATAGAGTTGTACAATCTGCAGATGTAACAGCAGATGCATCTTTTTAAATTTCATGCACTTGGTCTCATTTCCCATATGTGTCTTATG